CCACGCCACCTCGCCGGCCTGCCTCCACTACCTCGCCGGCCTGCCTCCTCTTCCTCGCCGGCCTGTATCCCGTCTCCGCCACGCTCGTTGTCGCCGTCGTCCTCCCCAACAACTGCTGCCCCATTCCCTACACCTTCCGTGAGCACCCCCTCTCTCCCCGTCCCCGTTGCCCGTTCCGGCCACCGCGCCGCCAAGCCCGCCCCTGTGTGATGTCGGCGTCGACTGCGCGCGCAAGGCCGCACCTGCCTGCTCGACCCGCTCCTCACGCCCGGCCGTGCCCTATGCACGTGCACACTCGCCGCCGCCCCGTGCTGAGGCTCCGCGCGCGCCGTGCTCACCCACCGGCCACCCGCGCCATCCACGGCTTGCGCGTGTCCGCCCCCATGCTCGCCATGCTCCCCTCGCCCCGATCGCTATTGCGTCCACCGTCGCTCGCCGTCCCGCCATTTGCCCACGCCGCGCCTTCGCTCCCCGCCCCGGCGCCACCCCGACGTGGCCTCGCCGCTGCCGCTGTCGTCCCAGGCGGCCGGGCTTGCCATGCCCATGGCCGGCGCCCCCCTGTCGATCTGGGCATTTGCCCAATCGGGCCGGGTTCCTGCACACGTAACCTGCGCGCCTGCATACCAGCGGTGCCCGAATCGCTGTGGCCCTCTGGGCCACTGACTAGGGGGCCCCACGCCCCAGAATGTAAAATGAAAATAATAAAAGGAATAATAATCTTAATTAATTAATAATTAACTTAAAATAATTCTGTTAATTAACTAACTAAACCTAATTAACCTACTAAGATAACCTAACTACTGTTAATTAGTCTTAGTCAATGACGAATGGGACCCACACGTCTGTTGACCTAGTCAACAGACAGTTGACTAATGACATCACACTGACATCATAATTACATTTTCTAATTAAATTAATTCTGTTAATTCTAAAAATGAATTAAATCTTTAAAATTAATATAAAATAATCCGTAACTCGGATGGAAAAACTTTGTACATGAAAGTTGCTCAGAACGACGAGACGAACCCGGATACGCAACCCGTTTGTCCGCCATGCATCCCTGGCATAGCGAACACGCAACTTTTCCCCTCCGACTCCTCTGCCCGAAAACGCGAAACACCGGGGATAATATCCCGGATGTTCCTCCCCTTCACCGGTACCACCTCGTACCGCGTTAGGGCACATCTAGCATCACGCTTTGTCATGTCATGCATCATCATGCTTCTGTTTGCATTATATTTATTATTTCTTCCCCCTCTTCTCTCGCTAGACATCGAGACCGACGCCGCTGCTACCCAGTACGACTATGGTGTTGACGACCCCTCTCTCTTGCCAGAGCAACCAGGCAAGCCCCCCCTTTGATCACCAGATATCGCCTACTCTTTTCTCTACTGCTTGCATTAGAGTAGTGTAGCATGTTACTGCTTTCCGTTAATCCTATTCTGATGCATAGCCTGTCCTTGCTACTACTGTTGTTACCTTTACCTGCAATCCTAATGCTTAGTATAGGATGCTAGATTATCATCAGTGGCCATACATTCTTGTCCATCTGCCATGCTATATTATCGGGCCGTGATCACTCGGGAGGTGATCACGGGTATATACTATATACTTTATACATGATACATGTGGTGA